GGCTCCGCGCGCAGCCCCTGCACGCTCGCCTCCCGCAGCACGCTCCGCCGCCCCGCCGCCTCCGCCGCGCCGCCGCTCAGCCGGAACGCCGCCACCTCCGGGCCCGTGCCTGCCGGGACAGAGCCGCCGCTAGCACCGCGTCCCCCGCTCACCGGCCACCAGCGCGTCCCCACCGCCCCGCTCCCCGGCCGGCATCGCATCCTCCACGCCCCCTCTCCCCAGCGGCAGCGGGCCCCCCACGTCCCCGCTCCCCAGCGGGCTGCACGTCTCGCTTGTCCCCGCTCCCCAGCGGGCTGCACGTCTCGCGTGTCCCCGCTCCCCGCTCCCCACCGCGTCCCCCACGCCCCGCTCCCCAGCGGCAGCAGGTCTCCCGTGTCCCCGCTCCCCGGCCACCAGCGGGTCCCGCACGTCCCCGCTCACCGGCCAGCAGCAGGTCCCCCACGAACTCGAGCGCCGTCACCGGCGCCACCAGCGCCACCGACTCCATGGCAGCCGCCGCCGCGCGGAGCGGCCGCTCGCCGCCCATTGGCCGCGGCCCGCGCGCGCTGATGAGGCGCTCGCCGCTCATTGGCCGCGCCGCGCCCCGCCCCCTCAGCACGCGCAGGCGGCCGCACGTGTCTCCACGCTTTATTGGCGCGCCCGCGGCCCCGCCCCCCCGCCCAGCGCGGGAAAAAGCCACGTGCGCGTCCCGCGCCACCGGCCCGAGCGGGCGGGGACGGGCTCGGCCCGCCGCCCCCGGCCCTACAGCTCCACGTGCACCCCGCTGTAGGCCTTATCCACCGTCCAGTCGCCCGGGGGGCCGGGCTCGGCCCCTGCGTAACGCGCCATCTCCTGCTCAAAGCGCAGCTGCCGCCACCGGTTGGGGTCCACGTTGATCCAGTTGTTGGCGATCCACTTAGTCCCTTGGGTGACGAGGCAGCCTCCGTGCAGGGCAAAGTCGTCCAGCTCCCCCACCCAGCCTGTAAGTGCAAAGCAGCATCACGGGGTGGCAAGGGGCAGCATCCCTTTGCCTCAAGGCCGCTGAATCTCAGCGGCCAGGAGTGCTCCCTTGCTCCTTATCTCCCCTCAGCAGAAGGGGCTGTTATGCTCTGTATCTCAGCTCCTGTTTCTTTTCTCTCTGGACTCTTCTCAACAGCAGTGGCCAGCACGAAAGATTTAAGTGCTGCCACTAGGAGGCTTCCTGAGAAGGCAGAACCTCAAGGCTGTATTAGACATCACTTTCTGCTGCTCCTCTATTTATAGATGTCCTATGGATTGTCCCTGTGTCAGACTTGTGTCAGCAGCCTTCTTCTATCTAGGAAAAATTTGCTCATAAAAATACCACAACAGGGCCCTTGTGGGTCAATGATGGTCCTGACATTGCTATCCAACTGCCCAAGCACGAGCCTTGTGATCTCCTCAGTGGATTTTCCATAGCTAGAAACACAAGCTGCTCCCAAGGGAAGTGGGAGACTCTGCTTTCTTCCCACCAGTGCTCAAAATCTGTCACTGAAAGACCCTGGAGTCATACTCATCAACAGCCTGGAAGAGGCAACTTTATCCCCCAGCCTGACGGAAAGTCAGGAATGAGGGAAAAGAAATGCACTGAGCTTTGTGATTAAAACCAGCCACTGCAAGCGCATCGCCAGGCTGCAGCTAAGCTACACAAGGGGAGCAAGCTCCAAGCCCAGCAGAGCCTCGCGCGGGGCAGGCCGAGCCTCCATGTGTCACAGAGCTTATGGCCATGCCTTTGCGTGCCCCCCTCCTCGCCCCTTCGGGCAACACCACATCACTGAAACATTTTGAATTGCAGACCAAGTTCCAGCAGGAGTTTCAGCTCACACAGCAGGAAGGGAGGCAGCTGGCGATGGCTGGTAACAGCCACGGTCTTTGTTTGCTAACTAGTCCCGTCCCCAAAAGCCATCAGGAGCCACTGACCTACTGCCTGTAGACAAAGGCCTTTCAGAGCCAGGAAGCTCCTGCCCAGCTGGTGACAAATAGACTCCAAAGTTCCCCCTGAAAGGCAGCTACCACCCCTGGTGCTGCTCCAGAGCACCCAGCCACAGCAAAACCCATAGCGCAGCTGTCACCTCAAGCAGCCCCATCCCTCTGGCGAGCGGAGTCCTGAAACGCGACATTACCTTCTCCGTCCGACAGGTAGTTGTACCAGAAGACAGCAGTGCCTTGCTGAGGTTTCACTCGCAAATTGCCCTTATCGCAATTTTTCCGAGTATCTCGCAGGTCAATGTCGTTCTGGATCAGAGACTGACAGGGAACACACAAAAGGGATGGTTAGGGGGTCTGGAATGAAGTGCGTGGTCTGGGCTGCCTCCGCTGCTGGCCATCATCCTGCAACCTGCCCGAATGTTCGGCAGGATCAGCTCCAGGCCAGCACTGGGCACCACAGAGCTTTGGCAGAAGCACCACAGACTTGCAAAGACTTACAGCCTGAGGAAACCTGCCCAGGTACCAGCAAGTAGGACCTGCATTATGGCAGCAAGGGCCACAGGCTGCCTCACATATCCCTACGTGGAGAAAACTACAGTCTTCAGAGCCGCCCACCTTCTCCCTTGGCCTCTGATGGGAAGACAGGAGGTTCTAGCTGTCTGGCCTCACTTGCCAGAGCCCTTCTGCAGCCACAGTGAAATCAGATATTCAAGGAGGGAACCAGTGAAATCCCCAGGGTAACAAGTAGGGCACTTACCATTTCTTCATATGTCCTGTTATCAGCTATAGGAAAGACTGTCTCGCCTCCCCCAGTCACATTGTTCAGGTAGAACAGCACTGTCACGTAGCTGCAAGAGAGAGTGTGGAGCAGCTATCAGGGAACAGCACTGGAAAAACAGACGTGAAGCGGCCACCCGCACCCTGTCCCTCCATCACACATATGGTGGTTCCCCCGTAGCATCACAAGACACAGTTTACATCTGCTTTTCTGCAAGGCCAAGACAAGGACAACAAAGAAAATCTCTACTTGCAACGACAGTGCGGTTCTGGTTACTGGTGGGAACAACCCAGCAGCTGAGCAGAACCAGCACACACCGCTCTTCTCATTTACTCCTAGACACTCTGGATTCACCCACTTCCCCCTTCTAACTTGCTGGTAAGCCAGCAATTTACAGTGCTGGTTTCTGAGCTTGCAGCCTGAGCCCCACGTGAGGTGAACCAGCTCTCCACACCTCTCTGTTAGCGTGCTCCAAATAAGTCTGTAAAAAGATCTCTTTTAAACTGACCCCTGCAAAGCCCTGCCCAGAGTTACAGCACAAGCCCCCGGCCTTCCCCCAAGGCCTCTGGGCAGCGCTTACCGGCACGAGGTCTCAAAGGGGGCACTTTCATTGGCGACCAGCTTGGTGTGGCTGCAGGCAGTCTCGGGGAACACGGGGCCGCTGTCCATGTGGGCATGGTAGTGCCCGCCTTGGTCATACCGCACAACCTGCAGGGGCTCACTGTGCTCCACGATCTCCGGGGGCAAGCGAGTCAGGCGCATTACCCTGGGGAAGAGCAGAGCAGGACACGTGAGGAGAAAGCTCGGTCGCCCTCGTCAGCCTCTACCCCCGAGCGCCGGACAGATCCAGAGAAAGAGAACCCCCTTCCCCAACAGACCGGACAGACAGACGGGCTGCAGCAAGCATGCCAGGAGGTAACTAGCTCCTTACAGATCTGCTGGAGCATCAGCATCAGCTCAGAAACTCCTCGTCAAGGTTAATAAAAAACAAAACCGAAGGGTGCATCTCCAGCAGGACTGCTCTCAGGAAGACTTGCTCAGCAAGGTCCCTTCTGTGTGTGTCCCTGGAGCCTTCACGGGCCATCTCATTGCTTCTCTGGACTCCTGCACACCACCTACAGACCTCGGGGACAGTTAGCAAAGCAAAGGGCTTCTGCTGAGAGTGAAGGAGAGACTAGCTCTAGGAATTTTCTTGTCACCTAACTCACCTTTCCCTGTGGCCTTTTCAACAGCCTCCCCCCAGGGCAGAGGGCCATGGGAAGTGATCAAGGAGACCGGAGCCCTCCTGCTCTGGGATTTTTCCGCTGCTACATCTGAGATCATCAAGCAGGTACCTCTCGAGACCTGCCAAAGAACACTTAGAGCTCTGAGAATCCAGGAACAGGGCAGTGCATTGGACAGGGAGGATTTTAAGAGCCTCCTTCTGCCCCAAGTTTCCACTTCCGCGGAGGCATTCGAGCAGCGCCAAACCAAAGAGCGTAAAGGCAACATGCTGATGCTGGTGTGCCCGGGCTAGCTGGCACGGGGCCGGTGGCACCCACTGTCTCTGCTCTAATCAAGGCAATATGTGACCCCGCTCTCCCTCTGGAGCGCGCTGAAAACAACGAGTGGCCACCAGCCTCGGGACAGATTTTTACCCACCCATGTCCTGGGCGAGGAGCAGCACCACAAGAACGAGAGAGTCCCCAGCCAATTATCTGAAACTCACCACAGCTAAATGATTTGGCCCGGGTGCCGCATTTCAGCTCTTCCCAATAACCAAATGCAACACGAAGGGAAGGATGAGAGGCTCTCCCAGCTGCCGTGAGGCGCCCCGCTAGGTGTGTGCTCAGAGGATTAGGCTAACTTAGCTTACTTTAGATAAAATCGTGCTTGTTAAAAAGTCAGGTCTGAACAGCTAAGACAGACTTCACTGAAATGCATGAGTAACTAAAGCAAATGACAGTAACTACTGGCACCCGGACAGCATTGGAAATGAACAGTTTCTCTCAGTAAGCTCATTTACTAATTGGAATGAATTGTGTCAAATAATGCCAAGTCTTCTTGGTTTTATAAGGCTGTTCCCAAAAGTGAATGGAGACGTTGAAAGGTTTGATTTTTTCCCCCCTTTCCTCAGGACAATACAAATTCTTGTTCTAATGAGAACCTCAGCTCTCCCCATTTCATGCCTGTGCTCAGTGCTCTTTCTACTCCAAAGGCTTTTGCACAATTAGGAAGTGTGAATATTAACAAGTCTCCCGCTACATCCCCCAGCACAGGTGGCCCCTGCGGCTGCCCTCGGCCGCTTGGCCGCAGCCCCTACCTTTGCCGAATGGCTCTCATGACCTGGTGGGCGCCCTCGCCCTGGTACAGCCACGTGTGCTGGCTGTTCCGCACCAGGTCACTCATCTTCACCTTCTGGCTCCCCATGTATTTGTGGAAATCACGGATGTTCAGCTGCTTGAACTCCTCCAAGCTCAGCACACCTATAGGGAGAGAGCAGAAGCAGGCTGGCCCCGGCAGCTCCCCTCTGCGAATGGTTCTTTATGTCCTGAACTCTGAGCCATCAGCCGAGGAATTGCCTTTTTCAAACAAAGTGCAGGAATTGCCTTTTCCAAACAAAGTGCAGGAATTGCCCTTTTCAAACAAACCCCATGAAGTGTCCACGGCTGGAGCTCACCAAGGGCTGCACCCCATGCACGAGGTTGCAGATCCCAGCCATGCCTGCAGCCAAGTGGAGGGCATGCAGCAACCTGCAGAAATGACCTGTCAGCAGCAGTGGAGACTCAGAATTGGGAAGTAATTTTTTTTAAGCCCCTAAAACACCAAATAATCCACCAGAAAAGAGAAATAACTGCTGCATTTCTAGCACGTGCAATGTCATAGCTAAAAGTCTGTGTATGCTGACTCCACAGAGGGGCTTCTTACTTAAATATTTAGGACAGTTAGTCCACATTTTCTACAAGATTTTTAGGGTTACTCTAAAAAATCCCTCCCAAAGCCCAAATCAACAAGCAGGAGAGTCTGCATTTGTATCATTAAAAAATAAAAACAACACAGGCGAAAAATACATGAGCATGATCTGGCATGAACAGTAGTAACACAAAAATGGTAGGTAAAAAGTGGCTGCTACTAAAGTGGGTATTTTTTGCTTGCACTCAACTGTTCTTGGCAAGGGATGGATTTTGGCCTTTGCCAACTTCAGAAAAATCTTCTCTGTTTATTCTTTCCCCATTCTGGAGCAGAAAGGAGGTCTGTCAGTGGGGATGAGGTCCCCAAGCCCAGAGCAGGCAGAGGACTGCAGGCAAGCAGCGGAAACACATCCAGACATTGGATTTTACACATTTAACTTCCAAGGGGAAGAACAAAGTGCCGGTGCCCAGGCAGAAGCATCGTGGTCTGTGAATGGAGCTCACTGGGGCAGCAAATGCTGCTGCTGGGAGGCCAGGGCTGCGTCCTGGGCACAGAGCTCCCTTTGCAGCACGGGGGAAGGACCCGTCAGCAGGGTCAGCCCAGGACACTTCCCCAGGTATTGGCAGCAATGAGCAAATTACTCACCGTTATTATTGCAGCTCTCTGCCCTCATCTTCCTGTCCCCACTTCCCCTTGCTCCCCATGGTCTTTGGTGATGCGCTGCCACATCCAGGTTGTGACCTGGCCACGCAGTGTCACGAACCAAAGTAACAAAGGAGGGAAGCAGCGCCCTGGAAGCAAGGTCTTGCCAAGAGCATTTTAACAGGACTTTTCATTTGTCAATGTCCAGAAGGGTGGAAAAAGCCACTGACAACTCGGTCATCTGTTCCTGTCCCTGCCAAGAATGCCATCAAGCCGGAGGAGCAAGGCATGGGGTGCCCTCCGGATATTTAGGCATTCACGTGGGTACTGCTTTGACACCAAAGCCGCTCTTCTTGGGCAGCTCTTGACGCCAGGCCATTGGAAGAGTGTGCGCACAGCCTGTGTGTTCACTTAATTTGATTAGGAAATGAAATGAGTCGCTTAATTGAGGACACTCTAATTAGAGCAGCAGAGGTCAGAGTGCATGTCCAGGCCAGCAGGAGCCCTTGGGAGACCAGCGGAAGGAAAAGCAGGAGTGGCTGCTTGGGACACACACTTGCTGCTGCACCGGTGAGGGAGAGCAGCACCCAAAGCCGACCAGCAAGTCTCCACATCCACCTATTCCGCCCTCCCTGCCCAGCCAGTGAAGCTCAAAGGAGCTGTCCCAGTCTGCTGCAGAAGTCTCCTTGAAAATGAGGGGTGAGTGAAAGAAGCACCATTAAGCTCAGGTAGCAAGAGCTGCACCATGAGAGATGGTACGGCCTTGCAGGCCAACGGAGCAGAATTGTGCCTTGGATATCTTGTTATGGCAGGGCAGAAATTAAAGCAGACCTGACATGGGCTCGTGCAGGGGACAGTGAATGCACGGCTGGATGTTCTGGTCCTGCTTCTGCAAGATCCACCTCGCTCAACAAGCAGGCAGACTAACCTGACTCTGAGATGGTGATGAAGGGGTGGGAGGTTTATGTGACTTTTCTGTGGAAGTCTCCAAAACAGCAATATTTTGCTTTGAAGAACATATCTAGACAAACAGGCCTGAGCCTGAACGTGCTTCCCGCTCGTCCCTGCAGTGCTGTGTGAGGTATCCAGTGCGCTGAGGACAAAGCAATCCCTACGGAGCTCCTCTTACCGTTCCCATCAGGATCGGCCTTCACCGCAGTGTACATCTCCCGGATGCTTTCGGGGGTCATCCACCTGCCATTCCCGAGGCGAGTGTGGGTCAGCACCTGGAATTGAGAACTGCATCAAGCCTGGGCACTGGTTTCTAGCACTAATGATTCCCCGTGTGAGGCCTGGCGGAGTCTCCTCCGAGGAGCAGCGGCCAGGCAGACTTCAGCACGTCTCCGCGGAAAGATTTGCCTGGGAATTATTTGGCAACCACATCCACAAAGATCTCTGCTGTTGTTTCCAGCTTAGGCCACAGCAATCGACTGCTGGGACCCAGTTAACTAGTCCTTAGACAGAGAGGGCTCAGCTCTTTCTCTTGAAGGGAAAGTCAAACTACAGATTGATTGCAAAAGTGAATGTTTTGATTACAAAAGCGAATGTTTTTACTTATCTGAGATAAGGCCTTGGAAGGAAATGCTCTCTCTCCAAAGGGAGGCAGAAATGCTCTTTGTAGGCTCTTGCCTCCGGAGATGGAGGCCTGGCTCCAAGCTGGCCCGTTCCCCATACTGCCACACACAATAGTATGTGTCTCCACATAATGAAATGGGAGCCTGAGAAGTAAATCCTTGGACGGCCAGGGTTTACCCCAATGCACCCTGCTGTGCAGAACAAGGGTGCTCAAAAAAGCCCCTTTTGCCACGTGCTGCTGTCCGGCTCATTAACATGGGTGGCCTTGCTGACATCCTGTCCACTGTGGGAAGGTGCAGGCACTTCTGCCATGGGCTTCACAAAACGCTGCCTCTGGCACTACAAATTCACTTCACTAAGACACCTAGCACAAAGAAATCCACAGCATATGGAACATTTTACCCAGCATATTTGAAACACACATTTCCTGGCAGGGACTCTTGCTACCGCCCAGCAGGATCACAAGTGCTGCACATTTTCCCAGAAATTTCCCTTCCACGCTGAAGTCCAGCACTAGACTCGGACCATAAAATGAAGCAAACACTTATCAGGACACACTGGGGGCTGGCCTGCTCAAACACAGCAATAACCCAGAGTCCCCAAGAGGAGGGGACAGCCAGGGGGACACCCAGGCCTGCCACCCTGCACTCTACCTCTTTGAGCTGCAGCTGCCCATCCTGGTTGTGGTCCAGCAGATTGAAAATGTCCATCTGGCTGATTTCTATCATTTCCATGGCTTCCTCGTAGTCATCCGTTGGTAGGATCTGGCTCTTCTGCAGCCCCTTCAGCTGTGCCAGATGGACGATCAGCTTGCATTCCTCCTCTGTCAGGAAATCTGGAATTTCTGCAGTGGAGGCAAGAGCAGCGACAGAGACTAAGGCAAGTGAAACTCCTGCCAATGGCAGGGCACTCCAAATTAAAAGAAAATAAAGGAAAACTTAGAAAGTTCAGATATTCAAGCACATCCATCCTTCTCCCAGAAGAGATCAAACAGAGCCACCACCACACACCTTAGCTGATGGAGACAGCCATTTTTACAATAGGAGTTCTTAAGCACTTGGATCCACAGGTCACGATAAACCCTTAAACTTCCTTGCAGGTCTCCACAATAGCCCAGGGAGTGAACAAACACGTGCAAATCTCTGCGTATTGTCACTTCAAAGGGTTATATGTGGATCACGGTCTGGGCACTGCTGCTCTACAGGACGAAAAAGAAATCCTCACAGCAGGGAATGGTGGCAGTGACCAGGGCTTCAGGCTTCCTTGTTTGCAGGGAAACCTGGCACAAACTCTGCTCTGCTATGAACCTCGGACCGCAAGGAGACAACTTCCAAATTTATTCGCACTCATCCCTTTGATCATTCATTAAAAAAAAGGTCTTAAAAATATGCAAAAGGAAACATTCTGGATGCCGTGCTCCATGCCCAGGTAGCTCACCAGCAGCACAGTCCTCTGCAACACAACACCAGCAGCAATCAAGCAAAAACCCGTGATCCCAGCACACTGAAATTTAGAGGAATTCCCTAAGGATTACGAGACTAGGAGATTTCTAGCTGCACGGAAGCACTGGATACGCAAGCGCACTTGCAAAACGCTGGCAAGGCCCCATGCCACAGTCCAGCTATGCTGTGGCCCAGCAGGTTGAACACATCTTTGTGCCTGATTTCTGCTGCTGTTCTGATGATTTCTCCTTACCATCTGTTTAGACCATTGAAGAAGAGGGAAAGCAACCCCTAGCACAAGGCAGAAAAAGTTCTTAGGCTGCAAGCCCTGTTATTTAAACCACAGCTTCCTCTGTTTCTGCAGGTATGTGCCAAGGAGATGTTATATCCAACCACAGTAGCATTCCACAAAGGGGGGGAAAAAAGCGAATTACTCCCATGACCTTAAATCAGCTCTAAATACTCCAACTGTCAATAAACAGTTGGCTTCTTGCTAAGTACAGACAGCAACGACCCTGTAGAAAATGCCATGTTGGTGGGTAGCGGCGGCCACACAATGCAGCCGGTTGTATCCGAGGAGCAATTTCCGTCGCAGGCGGCACAGTCCTTCTAACAGAGGATGCTTCCGAGCTCCGACTGCCCCGGTCGGTTTGTAGTTAATGGCACAGCTCTAGTTAAGAATTAACTGTCCACAAGCAACACTCCCAGTATTTCCAGTTCCTCAAACTGGGCTAAAATAATGAAAGCTTTGGGAAACTTAATTACATGAAGTGCAATCTCTCTTTTGGGCTGTTGTAAGAGGATGCCAGTGAAACAGGCAGTCTTGCTAGCCAGAAAGGGCTTTATTCCACACAGGTTGCAAGGTGAGAGGCTTTCCAATTAAATGCTGGCAATCTTCTGTGCAAACAACCACAGTGGCAAATTAGTTCCTCTCTACCCAAAGCCCTCGGAAACAGTTAACTTCTGGCTGTGAGACCATCCTATCTCTCTGCCTGCTCAACAATAGACCCAGCTAAACAAATGCCTCCTAATTGACTTTGAGCAACACTTGATTGCTTTTACAAAAAACAAAAGAGGGGAAAACATTGGGGTTTATGAAATAATGCCTAATCCTGGAGCAAGAGAAAGGGGCTGGGTTGAAGCACTGGTGTCAAACTGAGATGCAATCTCAGCTGAAAGAGCCCCAAGACACATGGGCCAAGTCATTCATCCCTCCCCAACTGCCCTCATTTCCACACCTGCTGATCTAAGCCAAACCCCTGCTAAAATCCAAACAATCGGGGCCGCTGGCAACCGAAAATTGGAGCATTGTCTTCCCCAAGAGAGCTCTGAAAGGGCTGCACTTAATGAGGATGGACTGACAGAGAGGGGGCTCCTAGGCTATAAAAGGCTTCCCCCAGGCAGGAGCGGCTCAGTGCGGGGTGCGCTGCCTGATCCCGCATTGCCGCTCGCTCACTCCGAGCATGATCCCGGCCCGCCGCATGATCCCGGCCTGCCGCACGCGCCGCCCGAGCTGGGGCAGCCCCTGGTTGCTGGTTCTGCTGCTGCTCGGGGGCTCCCCGGGCGCCGGCGCCAGCTACCTGCGCAGGTCCTCCAGCTGCACGGCCATCCCCAGCAGCATGGCCCTGTGCTACGACATCGGCTACGCCGAGATGAGGATTCCCAACCTGCTGGAGCACGAGACCATGCCCGAAGTGATCCAGCAATCCTCCAGCTGGCTGCCCTTGCTGGCCCGGGAGTGTCACCCCGATGCGAGGATTTTCCTCTGCTCCCTCTTTGCTCCGATCTGCTTGGACAGGTAAGATGTTTTTTGTAAGTTATTTCAGCCCTAGCGAGGAAAAGTTCCCAACAGTGGAACTGCATTGGCCTCTTGAGAAAAAAAAACATTGTGTGAAATCTGATCATTGCAGCTATTTGGCATCACCCTGCCCCACTCAGCGAGGGAAAATGGGATTACTCAGCAGGGATCTGCTCTCTGAAAGCAAAACATGAACATTTCTGAAAGGGAAACAGAGATCCTGCCAGATTACCACAGTGCCCCTTTTTGGTATATCAGATCAAAATGTATTTTATATGAATGTATTCATGTTACCAACTTTCTTAGAAAAAATCTTTTTCAAAGTTAGACAAACCCTCATTTTTATGGCACAGGCACTGAACTACAGGGCTGTTCAGGGAACCAGGTAGCTAATTAGGCAGCAGCCACTGATTGCAGGAATACTGAAAAATCCCTGGGTGGAGGAAGGGCTGCTGGCTGCGAGCAGCCTGTACCAAAAAGCCTGACCCCCATCTCACTGCCATCCTTAGAAATCGCTTGGTTCCTGCACTCGAGTGTTCAAAATACATCAAATATCTCGTGGTGCTGCTAGTGCTGCATCCCCGGAGGAGAGCAGGGCTCAGTCCTCAGCCTGCTCTAAGGAAAACTCAGTGCAATGCTGGTTCCCTCCCAGGCTCATCTACCCGTGTCGCAGCCTTTGCGAAGCCGTCAAGAGGAGCTGCGCGCCCGTCATGGCCTGTTACGGCTACCCGTGGCCTGAAATCCTCCACTGCAACAAGTTCCCTGCAGATCACGAGCTCTGCATCTCCGCAGTCTCCACCGAGGAAACCTCCTCCAGCAGGAGAAGTAAGGTGTTTTTCTCATCCGTTTCCCCCCACGTAATACGGGCAGGTGAAAAGACGAGCCTTGTGCCACAATGCCTTGTGTGCCTAATATTTGGGGGGTTAAGTTATATTAATATACATATATATATATAAACAAATCTTAGCTTTGTTCTCTCTGGAAAGCTCCCCTGAGGCTAGAGAATTAGTGTAACATTGATTAAAGCTTGTTCCCCTCAACTCCTGTGTTCATTAGTTATAGGACCAGCAATCAGCTGCAGGGCCAGAGTTAATAGCACGCAGTCCCTGGGCAGCAAAGTGTCCGACCACCAGTGCTAAGGAAGCGTTTTTCACATTTCTGCTACATCCAAGGCTTGCAAAGCACACAAAAAGAGCCATTTTTCAAATCTTCTTTTCATACTGTAGGAAAAAAAACAGCAAGAGGCATGAGCTCCACTTAAAAACATCCTCTATTGTTCTACAGTCTGGCACAGAAAAAATCTTTAAGACTACCAAAATAAATTTGATTCCAGTTTGAGAGAAAACATCCTGAATATTTTCTCTTCCTCTCTGCATTAGCTGAGGTGTTAGCGTTGCTTATGGTGTTGTCATACTGTGCAACTATTTTTACTGCCTAGGTGACACCACTGTTGCCTAACGGGTCATATTGTTAAATGCACTTTTTTGACAGCAAATTCTCCAGTGCCTCTAAATGCTACTTCTGCTACTCAACGCTTTGCTCCAGGGAAAGCAGGTGCTGAGCATCCAGATCAGCATTTATGTAAGTGCCAGCTAACCTGGGAGCAACAAGCTGCCCTGGGCAGCTAGCTGGTATTGCCCTTCTGAGGATGCTCTAGTTACTCGCAGCATCTCGAGGCTCTGAAAGCCACTGTGCTGATCACAAAACACAACAAAACACCACACACAAACCTAAGCAGGGCATGGAAAGGTTGGCATTTCCCATCCCGGCAGCCTCAGCAGCCCGAGTCGCTGGGGAGGCTCCACTTGAGCACCGCAGGTCGCCGCTCTCAGGTCTCAAACACCCAACACCTTTCGCAGCGGAGCGCGACACGGTTGTTACAGCCGGATTTCTGTTGCAGCAGTGCCCCGAGCCAGCTGCAAGGACTGCGAACTGGAGGAGGCCAGCACCGCCCGGGAGATCCTGGAAAGCCTCTGCGCCAGTGATTTTGGTGAGTGCTCCCGTCTCTTCTTAGTTGTTGGCTTCCCCTCTAGTATCCATACAGCTGCATGCACTGAAAATGGCTTTGCCATAAAAAAAATTGACTTGGAAGAATCTTGTTTTTTATTCTCAGTTATATTTTCAGTTTCCAACTTACCTGCAAAGCAGCAGGAGGGCTCAGCTACACGGTGTGCCAAGGGCAAAGTCCTGCTTTATTTCTGTTAGGCTCTCATTTGTTGTCAGTCTGCAGCTGCTAAACACAAGTGTTACCTGGTTTTCCATAAGTGTTGACCAATATTTAATCCATGTGCATAGAAACATCTGACAAACTCCATGTGAGCTGCTTCAGGCTTCAGCATTGATCCTCCCTTGCCCATCTGGAGCAGGTGGCAGCACCAAACCTCCTAAACTGGCTGACATGAAGTTTTTAAGATACTGTTCCAAATTCAGGCACACAACCTTCATGAGAGCAGACAGTTCAAGCCCTGGGCAGCTGCCAGTCGTGTCATCTCCCGCAATCCCAGCTCTGAGAAAGGCAAATTAATTTGCATGGGGCCAGGACTGAGATGCATCCACTTGCTTGCATAGCTGCCTCCTGCAGGGAGTTTCTGCCCATCAC